GTAAATATGTCTACATATGTTGTGAAATGATCACCACATTAAGTCTAATTAACATTCATCACCACATATGGTTGTAATTTTTTGTGTGATGAAAACTTTTTAAGATTTACTCTTAGCAGCTTTATACATTACGATACTACTAACTGTAGTCGCCATGCTATAACATTATAGCCCCATGACGTATTTATTTTACAACTGCAAGTTTACCTTTTGACTGCCTTCACCTATTTGGCCAACTCCCCATCCCCCACCTCTGGTAACCATTAATCTGTTCTGTCTGTGACTTTTGTTTTTTTATTTTGTTCTGTTTCATTTTGAGATTCATATATAAGTGAGATCATATGGTAATTGTACGTCTCTGTCTGACTTACTTCTCTTGGCGTAATATCCTCAAGGTCCATCCACGCTGTCAAAAATGGCAAGACTACTTTCCTTTTTATGGCTGAATAATACTCTGTGTGTGTGTGTCTGTGTGTGTGTGTGTATCACATTTTATCTGTTCATCCATTGATGGACACAGGTTGCTTCCATGTCTTGGCTGATATAAATAGTGCTGCAGTAAACATGAGGGGGAGTGCATATATCTTTTTTTTTTTTAAGATTTTTTTATTTAAGGGATGCCTGGGTGGCTCAGTTGGCAAAGGCAGACACTTTGGCTCAGGTCATGATCCTAAAGTCTTGGGATTGAGTTCCACATCAAGCTCCTTGCTCAGCTCAGCAAGGAGCCTGCTTCTCCCGCTGCCTGCTACCCACCCCTGCTTGTGTTCTTTCTTTGTCAAATAAATAAAATCTTAAAAAAAAAAAAAAAGACTTATTTGAGAGACTGCGTGTGTGTGTGCATGCATGAGTGGAGGGAGGGACAGAGGGAGAGAGAGTATTCCAAGCAGATTCCATGCTGAGCACAGAGCCTGATACAGGGCTTGATCTCATAACCCATTAGATCATGACATGAGCCAAAACCAAGAGTCAGATGCTTAACTGACTACCATCCAGGCATCCCTGCATGTATCTTTTTGAGTTTGTTTTCATTTCCTTTGGATAAATACCCAGACATGGAATTGCTGGATCATTATGGTAATTCTAGTTTTAGTTTTTTGAGAAGCCTCTATACTGTTTTCTATACCTGTTGTACCAATTTACTTTGTTTTTTTTAAAGTAGGCTCCATGCCTAGCATGGAGCCCAATATGGGGCTTGAACTCAATGACCATGCAATGAAGACCTGAGCTGAGGTCAAGAGTTGGCTGCTTAACCAACCCAGTCACCCAGGCGCTGCTTCCCACCCCCACCATTTACGCTTTTACCTACAGTGCACAAGGCTTCCCTTTTTTCTACATCTTCATCAGTAATTTTGTCTTGTTTTGTTTTGATAATAGTCATTCTGACAAGTGTAAGGTATCTCATTATGGTTTTGATATGCATTTCCCTAATGATTTGTGATATTGAGCACCTTTTCATGTATCTGTTGGTCTTCCATATGTTTTTGGAAAAATGTCTGTTCAGATCCTCTGCCCATTTTTTAATTGGATTGTTTCCCCTTTTCTAATGTAAGCATTTAGTATAATTTCTCTTTCAGTATTGCTTTATCTGCATCCCAGATTTTGACACCTTGTATTTGCACTTTCTTTCAGTTCTATTTTTAAAATTTCTCTGAAAATTCCTCTTTGACATACAGATTACTTAGAAATGTGTTGTTTAATTTCCAAATATTTTGTGGCTTTCCAGATAGTTTTTGTTATTATTTTGTAATATAATTCCTTTGCACATTTTTCTGTTGTCTTTGTTACTGATTTTTAGTTTGATTTCATTATGGTCAGAAATGCTATGTATTACTTCAGTTCTTTCAATTGTTGCAGTTTGTTTCACAGGCTATATTATCTATCTTAGTCATTGTTCTGTGAGTGCTTGAAAAGAATGTGTACTTCACTGTTGTTAGTTGGAGTACTCTATAAATATCTAATAGATCCTATTATTTGTTCTTCTAATTTCCTATTGTTTCTATAAATTGCTGAGTATGGGAATTCAAGTCCCTATAATCCTTTTTTTTTTTAAGATTTATTTATTTTAGAGAGAGAGAGAGACTGCGGGTGAGTGGGGGGAGGTATAGAGGGGCAGAACCCCCAAGCAGACTCCCCACTGAGCATGGAGCCAACATGGGGCCCTATCTCATCACCCAGAAGATGTGAGCTGAAACCAAGAATCTGACACTCAACCCACACAGGTGCCCCTCCTATAATCCTTTAAAAAAAAAAAAAAAAAAAGTTTATGCCAGGTAGAAATACCCATTCCTTCAATTATGCATTTACAGATTTAAAAATTTTTTAGTAGGAGAATCAGGTTTTTAAAAGATATTTTATTACAGAAAAAAGTAAGTGTATACAGAAGTAGAGAGAGTAGTTTAAGGAGCCCTTGTATCTGTTGTGCTTACCACCTAGCTTTAGTAGTTGTTAATATTCTGGCATTCTAATTCCATCTAAAACTACCCTGCTGCCCCCTTAGCTGCTGGGTTATTTTAAAGCAAATCCCAAACACCTGTCTTATCTGTAAATACTTGGACGTGAATCTCTAAGAGATGAGAATTCTTTTTTCTTTCTTTTTGCTTAACATAACCAGTAAGTCCTTATCACACCAAAAATAACATTAATTCCTAGATATCATCTAATACCTGGTTATTGTTTGAGTTTTTTTAAACACGTGATAAATGTCTTTTTAATGTTGGTTTGTTTTAGTGAAGGGCCAAAGTCTACAAGTTGCATTTGGTTAGTATGACTCTTAAGTCTCTCTCTTTTTTTAAAGATATTATTTTTAAGTAATCTCTACACCCAGTGTCACCTGCTTTACCAGCTGAGCCAGCCAGGCACCCCCTTAAGTCTCTTTTAATAAAGAAAAGATTCCCTTCTACTATTTTTCCCATTGTAACTTATTTTTTGAAGAAAAGGGCCATTTGCTGCCTTCTGGATTTAGCTGACGATTCAGTGTTAATATTGTTCAATATGTTCCTCTTTCTTTCACTTTTATCTATGAATGATTTTTTTAAATCTGGAGGCTTAAAAGATTCAGGTTGGATTTTTTTCTTTGATAAGAATACTTAATGGATCGTATAATGAAATTAATTATATCATGTCAGGAAGACATAATTTTTGGTTATCTCTCTTTTCGTAATGTTAAAACTGATCATTGGATGTAGATTTATTAGCTGGTCCATCTTTTGTAAACTTCAGCCTTTCACCTGAAATAGTTAAGCACTCATTAATGATTACTGAATAAATTCATTATTTCACAGGAATTACAAAATTATGATATTCTAATTCTAACTTCCTCATTTATTAGCTAGACTCATTTTATAAGAAACTTTTCCTCATTTATTTGGTTATCCTGCAATAAGGATCTTAATATGAAAAAAATTAATAAAAATCTAATTAATTACCTTTACTAAAAGTAAAAAATCTTTACTTGTTCTCTGATCAAACTGTCTTTTCCCTAGCGCCTTCCTGACATAGCATGTAGACTTCTCTCCATTATATAGAGCTATTTAGTGTTCCTCAAACTCATCATGTATTTTCCTATCTCCTCACCTTTATTTGCCTTCTCTGGGAAATGATCTTCCCTACCCTCCATTTTGTATTACACTTACCATCTTTCTTTTTTCTTTACTTTTTAAAAAAGATTTATTTATTTATTTTTGCGAGAGAGTGAGAGAGTGCACACAAGTTGGGGTGGGGCAGAGGGAAAAGCAGACTCCCTGCTAAGCAGGGAGCACAGTATAGGACTTGCTTCCAGGTCCCCAGGATCACGACCCAAACCAAAGCCAGACTTTTAACCAACTGAGCCACCCAGGCCCCCATACTCATCTTTCAACTTAAATTTATCTAATAAAAACTTACTGCTCTGTGTCAAATACAGCTTTAACTTTTTTGGGTCCTCAGTGTGTTCTACATAATAGATTTACTTTTTGACACTTTAGTGAACATGTGTCTTCTTTTTTCCTTCTTTTAAATCTTAGGTCTTTTAAGTTGCTAAGAGATTAGAAACATAAATAATTGGTTTCTTTGTTCCTAGGACTTCTATAATGGCTGGTCCTAAATTGCTCAGAAGCTGTATCACAGGTCATTCATCTACTTGCTAAAAGACTAAAAGAGAGCCTATTTCATTCTTCAGCTTTGAAATATAATTAACTGACTGTAGTATAGAACAAATGGCAGAAATTCTTAATTGGATTTCTTTCTTCCACAAAATATTGTGAAAAACTAGATATTGAATAGGCACCCTATATGAAATATCATTTTTTAAAGTTCCTGTGTTACACAGGTGTAATGTATGTGTTTATCAAAACTTCAGATGGACATCATGGATTTGTACATTTCATTGTGAGTGTATTTTACCTTAAGAAAGGTAGACAAATATACTTTGGTTAATGATTTGCATTTTCAAGTATTTAGTACAAAGTGTACTGGCATTTATAGTTAACTCTGAACTGCATAGAAGATGGATTGATGGATGGATAAAAGGATAGATGTGTGATAAAACAAAAAGACTAAAATGCTAATGATAGATCCCGAGTGGTGGGTATACAGGTTTTCACTGTGTAGATTCTTTTAAATTTTCTGTATTTTCAAAATTTTCCATAATGAAATGGAAAATAAAATTTTCCATAATAAAATAAAAGGGAAATGAGAGGTGAGTTTTTAAAAAGAGGAACCTGCTTGGATGGTGCAGTCATTTGGGCTTCTGATGCTTGGTGTTGGCTCAGGTCATGAATGAGGTCTTGAGATCGAGCCCCACGTTGGGCTCTGCACTCAGTGTGGAGTCTGCTTGAGATTCTCTCTCTCTTTCCCTCTGCCCCTCCCACTCTGGCTCTCTCTCTAAAATAAAGTCTTTTAAAATTAGGGGGGAAAAAGGAGGAAGTAAATTAACAACAAAACCAATATTCCATATTCCTAAATATAGTCTCTCCATCCCCCAAAGCTAACTATTCACATTGAACAGGAATGTGCCCTTACAGGGATCGGTGTCCTTCAGGGATGTGGCTGTAGATTTCAGCAGAGAGGAATGGCAGCATCTAGACCTTGCTCAGAGAAACCTATACCGGGATGTGATGCTGGAGACCTACAGTCACCTGCTTTCTGTGGGTAAGCATAGTCACTTCCACACAGTGTTTCCATTCTCAGTTGCTGAATGCTGTGACATCTGAAGTGTGATGGTTCTGTCCTTGATTTATCCAGGATTCTTTATCCCTTTGGGCATTCTGAATATTACTCTGTTCCTAGAAATATATGGTTCCATTCCTGAAGAAAAAAACTGCATTGAACAAAACTTTATTGTTTGTGCCTTGAAACACAATTAGCTGGATCCAGTCCTTTATCATTTCTTACGAACAGGGTATGAAGTTCCCCAACCAGAAGTTTTCATGTTGGAGCAAGGACAGGAGCCATGGGCATTGCACCGTGATCCACATGAGAGCTGTCCAGGTGAGCGAGTGTGACCCAGACAGGTGGGAGAAAGGGGAGCAAATCTCAGCTGTCTTGAGAAAGACTGGCGTCTTTGAAATGCTATTAAGATGACTCTTTTGGGAGGCTTTAACTTTTTGTTGCCTTGCCTGAAGACCCTTGACATTGGCCTCTCAGATGACTAAATGCCTTCATCATGTCTAATCATCATTTTCTTTGGCTTTTTGGAATCTGGATCACATGCCAATCTGCCTCATTCAGGGTTTTCTTTTTTTTTTCCTTGGTTATGCTCCTTTTCTCAAACATTCTTTTTCTTTCTGCCTTCCCCATTGTCCAAGATTCTTTATGCATTCAGGCATTCATGGATCTGCTTTCTTTCAAAGTAGATTACATACTTCCACTCCTGGTAGTCCTCTGTCATTTTTCTTTCCACTATGGGATGCTTCAGAACATTAACTCCAACCAGCCTCTCTCCCTTTTTTCTCCATAGGCACTGACATAAGATTTCTTATTTCCCATTCCCCATGCCTTTCACCCAACTGATGACTTTGTCTCTTAACCTTTAGGAGTACTTTTCTGTTATTTCCTTCCAAAGTCGGTTGTCTCTCTGGCTCGTTGGCTGATTTTTGTAATTGTTTTATTTCTGTACTTCACATGATTGAGTTTAATCATGGTCCTCATTCAGGGCACAGTATCATCATCAGTCTGGGTAAAGATTCTCTATTGTAGTAGTTGGCCCTTATCCGCAATTTCACTTTCTGCACAGTTTCAGTCACCCATAGTCTAAAAATACTAAATGGAAAACTCCAAAAATAAACAATTCATAATTTTTAAAGTGTGTGCCTTTCTGAGTAGCATGATGAAATCTCTTGCCATCCCACTCCATCCAGCCTAGGAGTTGAATCATCCCTTTGTCCAGCATATCCATGCTATAAATGCTACCTGACCATTAGTCAGTTAGTAGCCATCTTGGTTATCAGATTGACTCTCATTATATTGTAGTGCTTCTGTTAAAGTAACATTTTACTTAACAGTGGCCCTAGAGCACAAGAGTAATGAAGGTGGCAATTCCAATATGCCAAAGAGAAGCCATAAAGTGCTTCCTTTAAGTGAAAAGTTGAAAGTCCTTGACTGAATAAGAAAAAAAAAAAATCAGGTTCAGTACTGTCTGAGGATTCAGCAGGTATCCATGAGGGTCTTGTAACATGTCCCCTTCAGATAAGGGGAGGAACTCCTGTATTTTATTTTTTGATTTATTACCATGTCTTTTTCCCCACACCCATCTCACTTCTCACCATAGGCAGTTGTTTTATGTGATAACATATTTTTTAATGCATGCCTATTTTAAAATTTAAAGTGACTTGGGGTGTTATTAATTTATGTAAATGTTGCTGTGCTATATATCTTGTTCTTTGCCTTACTTTTTCCACTTTTGTCCACTTTTGTGGGTTATGTTCATAATGTTTATTTACTCTGACCAGTGAATTATATCCTAGAAAATTCCTTTCATCACTGTCACTAGCCTCTTCAACAAATGAGTCACCCTTTTCTCTGTGTTCAACATGGATGAGCCGTTTGACCCTTCCCCTCTACCCTCTGCTAACTGGTCTTTGAGCTAAAATATCATTCTCCTTTGAGAAGAGTTTAGGTTTCAAATGCTACAGCAGAGAATTTTTGAAAAAGCTGCTTTCTACATTGAGAAGGAAGGTGATGCTATAAGTGAAATTTTGTTATATTTCCTTCTAGAAGAATTGTGGCAGATTGGTGACCAGATAGAGAGCTATCAGCAAAGAGAAAACAAATCTTTAAGAGATGTTGCTTTCATCAAGAAAATTTTGACTACAAAGAAGGATTATGAATATAAGGACATTAGAAAAATAATTCATGTGAGCCAAAACATTCTTTCACCAAAAAGACCCCACCAGTGTGACTCATTTGGAAATGCTTTGAAGTATAATTTAGATTTACACAGTCATTACAGAAACAGTGCATCAAAGAACATAAATAAGATTACTGAACAGATTAAAATTTCTTCCTATACTGACCCTGAGTGTTCTCCAACAGGAGAGAAGTTATGGGACCATAATCAATGTGGGAAAATCCTCAGCTATAAACAAGCACCCTCTCAACATCAGAAAATTCATACTGGGGAAAAATCTTATGAATGTGCTGAATTTGGAAAGATCTTCACCCAGAAGTCACAGCTCAGGGTACATCTGAAAGTTCATACAGGAGAAAAACTCTATGTGTGCATTGACTGTGGCAAGGCTTTTGTAAAGAAGCCAGAATTCATTACACATCAGAGAACCCATACTAGAGAAAAGCCCTATAAGTGCAGTGAATGTGGAAAAGCTTTTTTCCAAGTATCTTCTCTCTTAAGGCACCAGAGAATTCACACTGGAGAAAAACTTTATGAATGCAGTGAGTGTGGGAAAGGATTCTCTTATAACTCCGATCTCAGTATACATCAAAAAATTCATACTGGAGAGAGACACCATGAGTGCACGGATTGTGGCAAAGCATTTACGCAAAAGTCCACACTCAAGATGCATCAGAAGATTCATACAGGTGAGCGATCCTATATATGTATTGAATGTGGACAGGCCTTCATCCAGAAGACACACTTGATTGCACACCGAAGAATTCATACTGGAGAAAAACCATATGAATGCAGTAACTGTGGGAAGTCCTTCATTTCTAAGTCACAACTCCAGGTACATCAACGAATTCACACAAAAATGAAACCCTTTATATATACGGAATATGGAAAGATGTTCAACAATAGTTCCAACCTCGTCACACACAAGAAAGTTCAAATTAGAGAGAAATCTTCCATATGTAATGAATGTGGTAAGGCGTTTACATACAGGTCAGAACTGATTATACACCAGAGAATTCACACTGGGGAAAAACCTTATGAATGCAGTGAATGTGGAAAAGCCTTTACGCAGAAGTCAGCACTCACGGTGCATCAGAGAATCCATACAGGAGAAAAATCTTATGTGTGCATGAAATGTGGACTAGCCTTCATCCAGAAGGCTCACTTGATTGCACATCAAATAATTCACACAGGAGAGAAACCTTATAAATGTGGCCACTGCGGGAAATCCTTTACTTCCAAGTCACAACTCCATGTACATAAACGAATTCACACAGGAGAAAAACCTTATACATGCACTAAATGTGGGAAGGCATTCACCAACAGGTCAAATCTTATTACACATCAGAAAACTCATACAGGAGAGAAATCCTATATATGTCCTAAATGTGGGAAGGCCTTCACACAAAGGTCAGACTTGATTACACATCAGAGAATCCATACTGGAGAGAAACCTTATGAATGTGGTACCTGTGGAAAAGCCTTTACTCAAAAGTCACACCTCAACATACACCAGAAAATTCATACTGGAGAAAGACAGTATGAATGCCATGAATGTGGGAAAGCCTTCAACCAGAAGTCAATACTCATTGTGCATCAGAAAATTCATACAGGAGAGAAACCTTATGTATGCAGTGAGTGTGGAAGAGCTTTCATCCGGAAATCAAACTTCATTACTCATCAGAGAATTCATACTGGAGAGAAACCTTATGAATGCAATGATTGTGGGAAATCCTTCACCTCCAAGTCTCAGCTCCTGGTGCATCAACCAATTCACACAGGAGAAAAACCATATGTGTGTGCTGTGTGTGGGAAAGCCTTTAGTGGCAGGTCAAATCTCAGTAAACACCAGAAAACTCATACTGGAGAAAAGCCCTACATCTGTTCTGAATGTGGGAAGACCTTTAGACAGAAGTCAGAATTGATTATACATCACAGAATTCACACTGGAGAGAAACCTTATGAATGCAGTGACTGTGGCAAATCTTTCACTAAGAAATCACAACTCCAAGTGCATCAGCGAATTCACACAGGGGAAAAGCCTTATGTGTGTGCTGAATGTGGAAAGGCTTTCACGGATAGGTCAAATTTGAATAAACACCAGACAACGCACACTGGAGACAAACCCTATAAGTGTGTAGTCTGTGGAAAAGGCTTCGTCCAGAAATCTGTGCTCAGTGTCCATCAGAGTATTCACACTTGAGAGGAACGGTATGAGAAAACTTCAGTGAGATCAGGTCTGATTGTACATCATTGAATTTGTTCAGAAAAATACGCATATTATCATAAGTAGAAATACCCCATCAAAATGTCACACATTACTCTATCGAAGAGGGCCCTGAATGAAGGGGGTCCTTCACATATTGTCACCATCTTCATTAAGCCTTGAGGCATTCACACAGGAAGAAAAGTAATTTTGTCAATTTGGCAGATTAGAAGAAGGCTTCTCCTGAAAAATATGATGGAACAGGGCACCTGGGTGGTTCAGTTGTTTGAGCATCCAGTTCTTGCTCTCAGCTCAGGTCTTGATCTCATGGTTGTGAGTTTGAGCCCTGCATTGGGCTCCGCACTGGGCATGGAGCCTACTTAAATATATATATGATGGAACATTGTTACCAAATTGTGCAGAGGAAAGTTTATGTTATGTTGTCTTAATGATAATCCTGTTTACTGTGGAATAGGTAAAGTGCCAACAAGTTGAATGGTAGAACAACATAATATATACAAATAATGACAAACCCTAAGTTCTGTGAGATGTTTGCTGCAGAACACACTGTCTAACAGTTTCAGGTGTGTTTTCATTCTTCTGTTGAATCTAACATGGTTGTGTGTATCCAACCCCCATTGAGTATTTCCATCAAGAAAGAGATAACTCAGTAAAAAAGTTCTTTATGTATAAGGACACAAACCTCAGAGTGTATGTTGACCCATTATCCTCTAGCATCATGACTCATAACACCCTTTAGCATCTACCAGTGAAGTGTCTTTGACCCTTATGAATCCTTAGCACATCATCTTCTGACACCCATAAGTGCATTAGCGCTAAACACTGTCTGCTGACTGCCATTATCTCATTTAGCTCCCAGCATAGTGTTTTGTGAACTTCCACTATCCTCAGAAGGTTTCTGAGGTAGAATTTTTGGGTCATTCTGGTCAACTTTTCATCCAGTCTTCCTTTTGCTATCATAGTTCTTCCAGCTAATTTGCCTTCCTTAATGAGCTGACATTTATAATAACAAGTCAGTAACTCATATTTTAAAAACCTCAACATTTGTTCATGTCTTCTCTGTGTCCATCTTCATGCCATGGGCTCCACAAGCACCTTCTCCCCGTGTGCCTCAAACACATCAGTTCGGGTCCTACCTCAGGGCCTTTGCACTCTCTGAAGCACAAGATTCATCATATCCATTTGGTTAGCTCCCTCATATCTTCCAATGGTACCTTTTCACAGAGGGCCCTATGCTTTCCTGACTGGTTTAAAATTTTGGCCCCTTCCCCTCTATCCTCCTTCCTTCTCCATAGCACTTACTGTCATGATGCCCTGTATATTTTACTTGTCTGTGGCTCCCAAACTAGAATGTTTTTCCCTGTTTTGTTCTCCACTGTGAGCCTTGACCTGTGCCTGACACAACAGGCATTACATAAATGCACATTGTGGAGTTACTTCATCACAGCTTCCCTTTGATCTTTTCTATATTGCAGCATAGGATACTCCAGTGGGGAGAACCAACTTGTCTAAAATACCAGGCTTTTTCATCTCTAGCTTTTACCTGGGCTGTGCCTCCTTCCTGGCCCTAAAGCTGAAACATCACCTTAAACCTTTTGGCCTGATGCCAGCCGCTTTAAAGAAGGGAAAACCTATATGGTGGAATTCCCACATATGCTTGGTGTTCCGAGATTTCTTACCATGTTTCAGAAAGCTCACAGTGAGCTCCAAAATCATTGCAGAAGAGCCTCACTTTGCCCTAGAATGCACAACCTTACCCCACCCCAGACCCTTACTGCATACCTACTCCTCGTGCTCTGACAGGCCCAAAGCTAATAGTATGAAGGGGCTGAAAGCCAAAGGGCAGACCGTCCTTGGACCTTAGGTGTCCAACCCAAGACTGGCAGCAGTGGCCTCTCAAATGCAGGCAGAGGGTCTGATTGAACACTTAGCTGCTGGGCAGCCAAACTGAACCAGCAGAATGGTTCCTCCAGGTCAGCCCACTGGTAACAACTGGGAGTGGGAAATAGTGGGGTTGTGTAGAGATGCTCTTGCCTTTGTGAACAGCATAGTGACTGAGGATCGGGACAGAACCTGGTCAAGGGGGAAAGCCCTTTAACCTCCTTACCTACATTTCATAGTGCTTAGTGACATACCGCATTACTTCACCTTAGATCAGTGTCTGATTCATCTTTAGCTTCCCTTCACCTTACCCTTTCACAATATCTGATGATCCACGATACGCCTTTTTCTGTCTTTGAACAATGTATGGTGGACAACCCACTGTTAACTCACTTTACCTCATCTCATACTGTTATTGGGGCTTCTCTAAGTCTTGCAACCCACAATTCTGCCTCAACGTAGGACAGTATTTACTGAGCCCTCATGATAATATCTGGAGACCCTCTTATCCTACCCCAGCACAGTATCTGGACACCTATTATCCCTCTTTTACTCCACTACTGTGTTTATCAGCCCTCCTTAATTCCAGGAAATAGTGTCTGGAGATTTTCTTTTTACCTCCTCCAAAATTACCTCCAGCATAATGTCTGTTACTTCATATGTGACAAAGTCTAGTAACCTCCATACTCCCCATTTATTCCTACTTTCATGTAAGTGGTTACAGATGGCCACTTACTCTACAGGTCCTCAGAATAGGGACCTGTGATATACCACCCCCTACCATCCAACTATTAACAGTATCTTCTGATACTTTCTCTGGTACTTCTAGTAGGGTGGTTTGTGGTCTCCCTCCATTACTTGTCCATCACAACAATAGTGACTATTTCCCTCTTCCCCACCTAGCAGTGTCTGTAATGATTGCCACAAGTAAGGGCAGTGACTGATAAATCACCATAAACAATAAACACATTTTCATCTGCATTTTGGAGCCTCCGCTATCCCCCCTCTCAGTAGGACCTCCACTGAAAACCAGCAAAATATCGACTGATGTCCATTACCCAGTAACACCGTATCTATTACCCCTCCATTAAATCCTGGTAGTATTTGCTTTTCCCTTATTGGTCCTCGCTAACATAATGCTGATTCCCCATTGCTTCATGAGGGCCCTGAGTGGCTACTGCAAGTACTCCAGCATTACCTCTCCACATCCCCACTGTTTGCATGGACAGAAGGGTTGAGGATGAGATCCTAGCTTCATATATCCCGCTGGGGAATTAATGACCCAGAGTGGGCTAGAGAGGATCTAAGGGCGTCAGGAGACCACAAGCTGATCTTCTCGTGATGCAACCAGAATAGAGAGGGCTCTGGATGTGGATCCAAATCCTGCTGCCAGCACTTATCCTCTGAGGGATTCTGGGCCAACCCAGCAAACTTTCCCCCTGGGCCTCAATCGCCTCACCTATAAAATGTAATTATGGAGAATGAAGTAACTTAACGTAAGTCAGGGCTTATTAAAGGAGCAGGGCTAGTGAAGACCAATGAGGGTATCCTGTTATTGTTAATAACATTACTAGTTATATATTGACACAAGCATCGGATCAACATCTGCATGGCTGTGCCCAAACCTCACAGAGGGAAACGTTATTTTATTGTAAGTTACTTTCAGTTATTTCTCTTTTATATGTATTATGATACTGTAGTACTGAGGTATTTTTAAAGTCAAATTTAGGTATTTATATAAGATAATATTCACCCTTTTTAGTGTACAATTCTTAATTTTGACAAATGCATGCATTTATATAATCAACATCATAACGAAGACAGAGAACATTTCCTTCACTCCCCCAAATTCCTTCCTATCCCTTTTTGGGCAGTTTCTCTCCCTATTTCCAGTCTCTTGCAGTCACTAATTTGATCTCTTTCTTGTCTCTATAATAGTTTTTCTTTTTTCTACCATGATATAGAAATATATGTGTATCCATATATAGATATATACATATGTTTGTATCTCCTTTTGAGCCTGACATCTCATTTTGTGATGTATTTGAGATTCATCCACATGGTTGTATGAGATACAGATGGAAAATAAGGTATGAGAAGATGCTCAACATCATTAGGAAGATGCAAATTAAGACCATGAGGAGATACCACTATACACTAGAATGGCTTGAAAGAATTTTTTAAATAGTACCAAAAGTTGTCAAGGATGCAAAGCAATAGAAACTTTCATGCATTGCTGCTGGAAAGGGGAAGTGGTTTATCTACTCTGAATCAAAATTTGGTTAAGTTCTTATAAAATTAACCATATACTAACCCTATGACCCAGAAAACCCACTCCTCGGTATTTAACATATAGAAATGAAAAATTAAATGTGGACTGAAATGTTCACAGAAACTATATTCAGGGGCGCCTGGGTGGCTCAGTCAGTTAAGCGGCTGCCTTAAGTCATGATTCCAGGGTCCTGGGATTGAGCCCCGCATTGGGCTCCCTGCTCAGTGGAGAGCCTGCTTCTCCTTCTCCCTCTGCCTGCCGCTCTGCCTACTTGTGCTCTCTCTATCTCTGTCAAGTAAATAAAATCTTTAAAAAAAAAAACCCAACTGTATTCAATTGCCAAAGATTGGAAACAACCCAAATATCATCAGTGGGTGAGTAATTCAACAAATTGTAGGACATCTATACAGTGGGATACTACTTACCCATAAAAGGGAATGATTTATTGACACAAGCTACAATGTGGATGAATCTCAAAAGTATTATGTTTTACCATGTGATAATGTATATTTGATAAAAGATTATTAGATATTAGATTATAAATAGGTTTGTATAATTTTATATGTGCATATCATTACATACTATAGTAATATTGTATATTTACGATATATAGCAATAATATTTATTGTATATTCCTTATAATAAAATTTATTTTATGATATATGTATTGTATGATTATTGAATTATGTAATTTTTATAATATATCAAACTTTCACATAACACTTAAGTTATTTGCATTTTTACATGTTTACATTTAATGTTTATAGTGCAGAATTGTAACTGTAATAAAAGGGAGCATATGGTCTGAAGAGCCTGCAGTTGTAGGTGGTCTATATTTTTATTATTTGTCAACAGCTCAGCACTGGCTTTTCTTAACATCAAGGAAGCTTGTTCCACTTTGCCCAGCTGTGTTCTCTGAGAGTACTCTGCTTCCCCAGTGGGAACCCCCTGACACCATCCCTCAATGATTTTATGTGAAGTAATATTTCTTGTGATCACTTTGTGTTTTGTACTGTATTTGTGTTGCAAGTACCACCATCTGACCTGATACCAAATGGGTTTTTCGTTCACCCCTCCCCACTGGACTTTCAACCTCATGATGCCCAGACTTTGTCATGTTCCTGCTGTGTCCAAGGCACCCAGTACAGCATTGGACGAAGTAGATACTCTGTATAAGGTTTTTTTAAAAGATCTCTTCATTTATTTGAGAGAGGAAGACAGCTTGCTTGAGTTGGGGGAGGAACAAAGAGAGAAACTCTTCAAGCAGACTCCCTGCTGAGCATGGAGCCTGAAGTGGGGCTCAATCCCATGATCCACCACATCATGAGCTGAAACCAAGAGTCAGATGCTCAACCAACTGAGCCACCCAGGCATCCCTCTGTTTAAGTTTGCTAAATAGAAGAATGAATGATAGTAATAGCACCAAGGTTGACCAAGTGCCCCACACCAAATGAGCTAAAATCATGGCTGGTGGGGGTGGGGGATGGTGAGGGGGGAAGGGTAGGTTGGTTACCTGTCCTCTAATTCAAGATTTAATGCCCCTTACCACACCTCAGCACATCTAAGCCCTAACCCTTCCTCACCCAACCTCAATTAGCCCATTCTTACTCTCCCCAGTATATCTGACCTATATCCTTCCCCCAGCGTCCTCAAGGTCAAGGCTCAACCTCCTGGTTGCAATGGGCAGGCCATGTAGAATGGGGAGGGACAATAGCAGGGAACAACAGGCAGGGGCCATGCTGTCAGCATCCACGCCAGCACTTATGTATCCCATCATGCCATATAGTCTGCCCTGCCTCCTCCACCAGAAGGCCCACCAGCAGATATGAAACCCCGGAGACAAGAGGAAGGTGGCAGGGCTGAGGCTTCCCACCTCCAGGTACCTCACTGGACAAATAACACAATGTGGCAGCTGTTGACCCTATGGCAAAGTCAGGTTAAAACTGGATTGCCATGGGCACTTGCCCTAATAGCAGGATAGACTGAGCCCTCCACCCTCAGCCATCAGTTGGGGTACTGGCTCTGGTGTGACTATTATCTATATTATACCCTACCACACCCCACCCCACTTCCCATGCCATATATCATACCATACCATACACAATACCATACCAGTTATTAACCATTTTACTTAATTCCATAAATATACTGATTCTATTATTGAAGTATTAATTTATATAAAAATGTCTGTCATTTATTTATATTTAAATATACATTTATATTATTATTATACTATGCCTAATATCATGAATTATATATCATGAATCATACAAACTGATGCTAAAAAAGCCTGTATCCCTTCTTTCAGGCACCTTCAGGTCAGTGGTGTGTGCACTATATTAACACAATGATAGTGCCACCTCTAGAGGTGAAGTTTTTCCCCCTTTGTGAAATGAGCTCAAATAGATTACTCCTATAGTGATGACTGTACTATTTTAATATTT